AAAAAGAAGAAGAAGAAACTAGCCAGCGCAGAGTAGCGAGAAACGTTACGTGTTTTAGAACATTTTCGTATGATGAAGCAGGAAGGGAGGATGGAAGAGAGCGTGCGAGTTTTCATAAAAAATTTTATGTTAAGACAGAGCGAAGTCGAGAGATCGGGCGGACGAGGGAAACGTTACTTTAGAGCCGGAATGTGTCAAAATAGCGGAGCGTCAAGGGTAGCGGCTGAAGATTGAAAAAAATTAAGTTAAGGACCCGCGAGAGATGTCGATTGGCAGAGGCGAGCTTACAGACTGGCTGAAAGCTTTGAGAGATTTCGTGGATCTCTATAATCCCCACCTTCTATATTTCCCCTCCCCTGCCGCGGAAAATCAGCGGAGATGAAGAAAAGGCGGGACAGAGAGGGAAGGAGGAAAGAGAAGTAGATGGTTGACTAGCGGTAGATGGTGGATGGTGGAATGGAAGTTATTTTGGTAACCTAGGAAGCCAAGAATGGGCAGGGATAGTTTTAACGGCACTGTTTTCTCATTCTGTAGTGATTTTACATAATAAACAAACATTACGAACATTATCGCACTCGGTATCGCTGCAAATTATGCAATTGTCCCCCCGAGGTAGTAGGAGACTGTGTCGTTCGCCGGATGCGACGCGTCTCGCGAATCGAGAGACACAAGATACAACACAAGAGACAAATTTTTTTCGTAGCGTTAACGCGTACCTTGAATTCGGAGAGGGAAGCCATTAAATCGTCAAGCTCCTTGGTAGCGTTACTGGCGGTGTGACCATTGGTATAGCTTCTCTGGGCCTCGCTGCGACTCAACGATCCGTGCTGTCTAGAAGGGTAACCGTCGTACACGGGTTGGATCTCCGTGGACGTTTCCTGAATGGTAACTTTCACTCTACCATCGGGAGGATAATCTCTGAACGAAGAAAATCGCGTTAGAATCAACCTGTCCATCCCGCCCCCTTCGTTTGAATTTGATTCTTTCCTACGATCTTTCTCGTTTCTTTCTCTTTCGGAGGAGGAATAAAAGAGCTTACCCGTTTGGCACCGCGGTGCTCAATTCCTCGAGCAACGAGTCGACGGTGGGTCTTGAGGCTGACATGCTACTTGGCGAACGAAGCATCGGACTAGAGTCTCCATTCATCCCCCCCGAGGAAATGCGACTATCTACGGTCAATGCGACACATTTCTCTTGTTCTCTCGGTGAAGATTACAATTGATCGTATAATAGGGAGAATGTACGCGGGAGAGATTGGACTGCTCACCTCTTTCCTGATAATGAGCGTTGTAACGAGCGTTGCTTAGATCTTGGAGCAACGTGTCCAACTCCGACAGGTTATTGTTCAGAGAGGGCATCTTCCCTCCGCCGCTACTCTTCGCGATGCTCTCCTCGATCGCCTCGCGGTTCTGATAAGTCGGCTGTAACAGTTTTGTCGGTTCACGGATAGACACGCTCTCGAAATTACCCGGTTTCATCATCCGACGAGAACAAAAGGGACTATTCGAGAAGAAGAATAATCCACGCGGGACGTGTAATTTCATTTGTTTGTTCGTTAATTACAGAGAGAGAGAGAGGGCTGGCGGGGAGTGAAAAAAAAGGTGGCATAGATAAAAGAAACGGGTGCCAAGTTCCCGCAAAAGCACATTATTTCAAAACATGATGTCACTGGATGTTCGCGCAGAATTTGTAAATACATTATCAATTAGGTGGACGCGGCGGTTGAGGACACAAGGCGTCATACACTTTTAATAGAAACCTGCCCGCCAAACCCGACCAACGGTTTCTCGTTTGTTGCAAAATCCCCGAGTATAAAGGGGATACACCGCCTCAATTTGTTTCCGGCGACGCGGCGATCAACCACCAGAACCGTGTATCAACGTCGTGTTTCGAATCCGATGCTCACTCGGCTCGAGTCGATGATAATTAACGCATACCGGGCGGCATCGTTGCGAAACGATCGAGGATCGATTCGGCCGTCAGATCGATCCTAACGTGTTCTCTTCGTTTGTCCATGATGAAACGGCATGGAACGATACATCCTGATGGTGGAAACTGGGTTGTCGTTTCTAAAAATATTCGTAGCGGACCCCGCCGATCATCGCGACAGTACAAAACCGGAGAGGAACATGTCGCATCGTAAGCGTCGAGAATCCTGTCGGGAAATCCCCGGACGAAATTTCATCGAAATCGGCTGGAAGCCTGCGAGCGCTTTGCTCGATCAGAAAATAAACACTGGGCTATAAATCGCGGCGATTTACAGTCACAGAGAGAAACTTGATAGATCCATCGATTCGCCAAAATTCGCGAAAATAGGCCGAAAACTTTTCAGCGGATGTTTCCTCGACGTCGTTTAATGTTTAATCAGTTTAAGGAGGAAAGATACTACTAGAACTACCACACCGGTCAAAATGACTGGTTCGATAACTTTATCATAAAATTCATTTATTACCCGCAATGGCGTATTGACTTTTGCAGCAATAACTAATAGGAATAATATAATGAATTTTATTTTTTCTTATGTTTAATTTATTCAAAATCAAAATAACTTTTGTATCACGGCTACGTGTACCAAAATGACTGCTACTTAGTCGAAGTACAAAAGATAAATTAATTAATATCAAAAATATGCTACGTACAACATGGAATTCCTTTGTATAAAAGTGATAAGTCAATAAATATAAAAATATTCTACTATTGCGTATGTTTTTCAAGACCAATTAATTTCGCTGGTCCTGGTAGAGATAGTGTCGTCAAAACGTCGGTAGTTCTAATGTTGAAAGCTGTCGTGGATTGGAGCTTCGTCATATTAAAAAAAAAAAGAAAATCAACGATAAAGTTAAATAAATGGAATTCCGTTTTTTATTTTATTTTTTTTTTTTGCTTTTTGAGAGGACGAAAGGCAGACTAGTGGCGAAATTTTTTTCTTTAAAAAGGGACGGCACGTACGATCGGTTTTGCGTAACGCTCTCAAGAATCGCTTCATACGATAACTCGCGCACGTAATACGTAACAGCCCGTTTCGTATTTTGTGCTAAATCCGAGTTGAAGGGGAAATAGTGCCCGATTCGACAGATTTTCGCCAACTTTTCGTGGCAGAAAGCTCAATCCGTGAACGCCAATCCACGTCACGCAGCTCGTCCGATGCACCGCGACATTGAAATGCGTTCCAAGAAGACGAAACCGACGTGTTTATGATTTATTTTGCGCCAACGTTGCTCAAGTTGAAACCGTGAAAAGAACATTATATCCTCGCCAGTGACAGGTAACAGGCATAAATTACCAAACGTGTGCACACCGCACGTGCCTCGTCATCGCCAACAACTTTTTCGCGCGTAACCGATGTTTTTCTTGGATTTGGTGTTTCGTTACGGTTGCTATCAAACGAAAGACCACGATTTTCATAGGTGCAATAAAATCTATTTATAAGACAAGGCTCCAGAGACGTTCGAAAGGATGTCCTGCTATATTTACTGCAATGTCGGCGAAGCCTCTAGCGAGGCCGAATATTCTCGTTTACCAGTGGGGGGAAAAAAAAAAAAAGAATTGGAATTTTCGATCGATGGAAAAGCATGCAACGAGACAGAGACCGTCGTTTTCTCTCGGTTGCGTACGACAGGGAAGAGAAGATTATATTCTGCATGATTGTTCGACTGCATGAGCTACACGGTCGATAAAATAAACGAAGGAGAAAACGTATCTGCTTTACTCTGAATTTTTTCAAACCTTTACGAGTACGTTTAGAATATGTACAGATTTTTTTTTTTTGCTATGATTCATCTTCGATTTCAAGAAACTGTGAATTATATATCTCCAGATAATTTTTCAAACACATTGCTGTACGCACATATATATATATGCGTACTATATATATAAATATTTACTTAATTATTTATTTAATATAACTATATATATATATCTTTATATTATATATAATATTTTATTATATTATTATCTTTAAATATTTATTAAATATTTTATCTTTATATATATATA